TGCGCGGTGCAGGCGCGAGGGTTTCAGCGCGGGGGGGGGGGGGGGGGGGGGGGGGGGGGGGGGGGGGTCTTTAAAGGATGGATGGTAGGATGCTTACAGCGCATGCGTAGATCTTATAGGCCTGCTGTAATCCCCTCTGTCACAAACGACCAGAGGATGCAATATGCTGTAATTAAAGAAATAAAGTATCCGACTAATTACAGTCTTCCACGTGGTTTACTTCCGTCTGTGTGTAACATCCGGGCGCAAATAAAAAATAAAGATGGATGATAAATCACAATATTTTTTTTTATTTCCGTTAAAAAACAACAACAAAAAAAAACAAAAAAAAAACAATGGCAGTAACTAAGACATAAAAGCCAAATATAGTGGTGGATCAACGTGACCAGGTTACATAGAGTCCCAATTTGAATCTGAAAATATAAATGTTATGTTTATTCTTTACATGAATCCTTTGAATATTATTGATAAAAGTAACATTTGAGGCTCAGAAATTAATGTAAAACATCTCACATTTGAATTGTTTATAAGGAGTAATCTTAAACCAACATACAAACCAATGCAAACATACATTTCTAGGTGTAGTATCACTACATAAAAAAATTATTTGGCATGTCATTTAACTGTTTTTAAAGACTTTTACTGTGACACATTTTCAGTTTGTAAGAATTTTCTTCATAGTGACTTCGGTTGCACCACAAAATTTCTGGTGGTCTTCAGCTATTTAAGTTATTCAGTAATTTTTTTTACCAAGTCAAGTTAAGCTTCAGAAGCCCCTTTGATCAGTTCTGAATGTTATACTAATTATAATATGATTGGACAGTGAATTTATTTATGTAAGTCCACCACCTAGTGAAACACATTATATAAATGAACAAGACAAAGACTGATGTTTTAGCACTTTTATTTCTCCTAATGAGGATGACTGTATGGTTAAATGTCTTATAAATTCATAAAATAAAAAGCATCTGTAAACATGTTATCACTTGGCTGTCATGGGCTGTTTTGTGTTGTTTCTTTTTTCTTTTTTTTAAGAAAACTCTACTAAGTGAAGGTATCTGGATAAGTTAAAGAGTGGTTCACATCTTGAAATGACTGGAGTGAAACCAATAACTGGATATTTTCTATCTTGAAATATTTGAGAGCTGAAACAAGCTGTGAAAATGGCTTCAGGCGCCACCATGTGGTACATCATGCAAGTCATTTCCAGAACTAAATCAGGAATGCTTGTATTATCATGTCATGCCTCTCAACTTAAATAATTGTGCATCTTCAGACTGAAAAAAATTACAGCATGTGAAAACAAAGCATGTGAAATCTATTCAGCCACTCATAACTCTGTTTGACCCTGAAAAGAAACAACTGATGCCTTATTTTAAATGCCAGTAAATATTTCTAGATCAATTCTGTAAAAATTTTTGTATATGGCTCCAAATCCTCAATTTTTATTTTTTATTTATTTTTTGTCAATTTCATTAATAATTGTAATTAGAAATTAAAATTCTTTCATAAACCCAAACAGGTTGTGTTATTTGAAAATAGGAGAGATTATTTTACTTCCACCTTCAGATCTTAAAGCTGTCTGCTTTTTTCCCAGTAATATTTTATCCTCTTCATCTGTTGATGCTCATCATGAAAGGGTAATTGTGAGACTTCAGTGGCTTTTCTGTAAATCATAAAAATGTTGAGAAATATCAAGAATAAAAATATAGTTCAATAATTACCTTTTCAATGATCTATATTACAAGAAACATACCTAAGAAATGCTCCACTCTGTTTTCCAGTCTTATCACTTCCAACAGCTTGATGATTTGCTTTACTTTTTTATTATTTTTTTCAGAGCAATACAGAGTTATAACTTAAAAGACAGAAATATCCTCTGATCATTTGCTGTTTTTTTTCTGTTCTCATTTATATGAACAAGGGATATACCAATTTAGAACAGTGTGGGAGAGAAAGATAGAAAAAACCTTGTGCATAGCAGTATATACATGTGTATTGTTAAGGAATGGGGGGATAGAAAACAAAACAAAAGCACACAAAAAGGCTGATTAGTACATTTGATTCACTTTTAAAAAATAAATAAAAGAAATCAGAAAAAAGCTGAAGTATATTTAAAAGAGATTCAGTTCATAAAAAGACAAATAATAATACATAATATAATGCAAAAATACAATTCTCTTAAATTCAGTTTAATTAACTATCTTTAAAATTCAAATTGCAGTCATGTGAAAACATATGAATATTTAATATAAATTTTAACAGTATTGGGAAATTAAAGCAATATAAATAAAGTGAATAGAATACCATTTAATTTGTTCTATAAAATGTAGTAAAAAAAATAATAATCCGTTTCTGTCTGGGAAAAAATCAGGACACGATAAGATTCACTCCAACTTAGACGTTGACCTAGACTAGGTCAAAACTTTGACCTAGTCAAAGCCCTGATCTCTATCCTTTTGTGTGGTGTCCTAACTTTTTCACAACCATACATTGCTTCACATATTTCTAAATTTTTATTAACACAAAAGACACTACAAAGTTTTGAATTTCCTCATACACAACATGATATGTCACACATGCTAGAGAAGTGTAAATAATACATGTTTTTATCTTACTGACCACCCTGCACCTTTATGGAGATGGATGATAGGAATGTTAGAACTTGTCAAATGTAATTCTAAAATCTGCTGAAATGTGTAATTTTAGAGTCAGTGTTCCTGTTGTCTGAGCTTTTTACTGCAGTTTTCCAGGAACTAGTAATAATGAAAACCTGAAGGATACAATCATAGATGAGCCATAAACGTAAACGTATTCATACAATTTAAACTTTTTCACATTATGACCACTAACTTCAACCTATTTTTGTGCATTTTATGTGATAGAGAAACACAAAGTAGTGCGTAATTTGGACATACATGAAAGGCAAATAATAAAAAAACAAAACAAAACATGAGCAACCAATTAAAGGCACCTTATAAGTAAACATATGGAGCTGTTATGTTTCTGGACTCAGAGGATTTTTTAGAGAACATAAGGGATAAAAACAGCATCATTTAGACCAAAGTTTAAAAGTAGAGTTAGGTTCCAAATCAAGCCTTCAACATCTCCCAGTTTCCCAGCAACTTCTCAGTTGCCAGTATGTTTGTACGTCATGCAAGTGAATGTGCACAATTGTCTGCTTTTTCCCACATTTTGAGTTGCTTATGCCATGTTGACCAAAATTAACTCTATGGGTCTCTTGACATTTAAACATAAGTTTGTCATATGAGCTTCAACATGGAAAATGTTTGAACAAGTTGTGATAATATGCCAAGTATATTATATTTATTTAGATTTTTCCATTTTGGGTCAAACTCTGTGCCATGTATATTCATTTATTATCTTCTTGTGTTCTGTTCTATGTATTTCGGTTTATCCTCTAGTTCAGTGTTAGTATGACCCCACTTTGTTTTTAGTTTGTGTTAATTATTTACCATTTCAACATTTCCTCTGTATATAGCCTCACTGGCTGTACGTTTCTATATTATTTTTACCTTCTTTTATTCTGGTTGTATTTTTGATTCACACTGATTTAATTTTGTTGAGCATTTATTTGTTTTACTTTGTACAGCACTTTAGTCAATGCAAGGAGCTGTTTTCTTGTGCAAGTTCTGTAGGTTTTCTGTTTTAATGATTAGACTTTCATTATGGTTACCACAAGTTCCTGCCTGCAACTTTGGTCCTACTTTCAACATATAAAAACATGTTGAAAGTAGGACCAAATGCATGTAGTGCACGTAGTACTACATGATGCATGTAGTACTACATGATGCAAGTAGGAACCTTCATGATGCATGTAGTACTACATGATGCAAGTAGGAACCTTCATGATGCGTGTACTACACGACTGACACTACATGCATCACCCTTAACCCATGATGATACACGTGGTGGCAGCATCATGCTGTGGGGATATTTAATTTTTTATTTTTTGGTGGGACAGGAAAACTGATCTAAATTGATGGGAAATGTAACTAAATACAAGAAAATCCTGGAAGAAAACCTGTTCGAAGCTGAGGAAAACTTGAGATATAATTTAGATCAGAGCATATTTATGCGTTAAGCGGCCTAATCAAAGCCCAAATCCATGGCAAAACTTGTAAGTTGATGTTCACTGTTGCTTCCCATCATATTTGACAGAACTTGGGACTATTGTTTGAAAAAGAATGCAAAAAATATGCAATTTCTTAATATACTAAAAGTTGTTAGAGACGTACCCCAGATGACCTGCAGCTTTAATTCGCCTACTACAGGACTGCCCAAAGTATGGCCATATTATTTTGTTTGTCCCCAGACTACAAGTCAAGAATGTTCAAAATTTGACCAACAAAATAGAAAACAACTGATGTACCCCAAAAAAAGTGGAAATCATCTCTATTTCTTTTAGTAGCACAACAGTCCTAAACCATTTCTGTTCTTTATCTTTAATGATGTACAGATTTCATAAACATTTTGTTTATTATTGAGCAGGTAAATCTAAAGACATAACAATAAATTTATTGAAATTTGCGGGCTTTGGCCGTCTCTACAAAAAGTTTGGACACCACTGGTCTTTGTGTTGGTCTGTTACATAAAATCCCAATAAAACACCAAAATGTAAAAAAATCTTCATGAGTGCAAATACTTTTGCAAGATGCTGGGTAACAGATCTTTAAAAAAAATGCTTACAGTTTTTATTTGAGTTCACAAAAACTCAAAGTTAAAGTTTTGCACAAAGGCAGGCACCAAATGACCTGCTGCTTCATTTTGTATGATGAACAAGTTTATGAAGTTTCAGACACACTTTGGGAAGGAGCCGGCTGGAGTTCCACCTGACCGCACCAGGGAGTTTGTGTAGTTGGGGAAAGTTGTGTAGGATGGAGGGCTGTCCAGTTCAGAAGGAGACCCAATGCTGTTGCTGGACGAGTCGTCCACGGAGGGTTCCTACAAAACAAGAGCTTAGTGGTTTATCTGCAGTACTTTAAATAACATCTGGATTTTTTAAAACACTCTCAGATATGAAAGAAAGCGTAATTTCACAATTGAGTTAACAAAAATACAAAAATTGTGTCAGCTGGTGACTAACACTGATTTGGGAACACATTAGCATCGTCCTTCATTAAACTTTCACAAATCAAATAAAGGTTTCACAAATCTAAAGCAGGTTTTAAATATTCTGCTTTTAGTGAAGAATACTATAGTTCAGGGACAATATGGCTGAAAAATGTATCATAACTTGATGATAACTTGACTGACCACAAGTTATCAGTCAAGATAGATAGATAAGCTTTTTTGTTTTAAATATCTGAAATATTTCTAAACTGGTGGTGTGGTCTTTTGTGTTTTATCCACAATTTTCACTTCATGCCATTTTCTATTTTTAAGCAGTTATGAGGAACGATGGCAAAACCTTAAATTGCAGCAGCGCAAATTAGCTATTTGTTGCTAGGTAACCAAAGAGTGAGTGAGTTAAGTTGAAGCCAAAAACTGTAAATAAGCAGAGTGCTTAGAAGAGTCATACCTTTTGTTGGAGGACATAAAGGGAAGTTACTGCTTTTATCCCATTATGTTCCCTCATTTTGGGAAGCACATCATCTGTAAAGGAAAACACGTTACTACACAGACGTCAATTTTAGCTGAACTCTCCAGAAATTTTATTTTTACCTTTCTGTTTAAGCTGTTTATGATGAGAATTACCATAAATCCTGGACTTTCTAGTTTCCTTTCTTGACCTGAGATTAAAAAACAAACAAAAAAACATTGGTAAATATGCAGTGGATGTACATTTGCATTTGTACGGTTGATGGACTATGGAGGTAAATTGGGGTCATAAAGTTTATTCAAAATAATAAAAAGAAGAAACTGAAAAAAGTATTTTTTTTTTCCTTTTTAACAAACTTTATGACCCCAATTTAGCTCCATAATGGTTAATTAACAGTATCGCAGTTTACTTTTTAGAAGGAGTCCAGCATGCACACACTGTTACCAGCGTGATGAGGATGAAGATTCCTCCAGTGGAAAGCATGATGTACACGGAGCTTCTCCCTGGTGAGAAACAAGAGCTAATGAATAAATGTTTACATAAGTGAGGCTTGTTTATTTTAATTACCATTTTAACATCTAACCCGAAATCTGACAGTAAAGCTGCTTTTGTTACGACACATGCTCTGTCTGTGATGTGTAATCCCAAAAAAGGGGGACATTTCTATGCTAACCTCTCCAGCAGAGGGCACCAAAAGCTTATCAAAGCTTTGGTGCTCTGATTTTGGTTTGAAGATATTTGATTCACACTTCCAGTGATTTTCCCTCAGAATGTGTGCAAGTTGTAGTTCTAAGGATTTTTTTTTTTATTGAACAACCAGAAAGCTTTCAGCCCATCTTTCTCTCATGTTGGTTTCTTGGGACCATGTTTGCTAACAAGATTTTAATGGTTCTGGCATCAATGATCCACGTTGCAGCCCTCTTCCTATCTCCTTTTTTCCAAGGGAAAAAAAGGAGGTGCAAATTTGTGAGAAAAATTCAGAAATTTTGAGATTAATGTCTGAAATTTTCCAGAAAGACAAGGAAACTTCTGAGCTCCAAAAGTCAAAAAATTTGGGAGAAGAAACCAAAGAATTTTCAGCTTTTCAACCTCAGAAATTTCCACAAAATTTTTTCTAGAATATTTCTGAAATTGATCTCAAACTTTCTGAGTTTATTCTTGCCAGTTTTTGACTTTTGGAGCTCATAAATTTCCAAATTTTTCTAGAAAATTGCAGAGATTTATCTCAAAATTTCTGTCTTTACTGAAGAACATTTTTGGACATTTTGAGCTCAGACATTTAAAAAATAAATTCAAGAAAATTTCTAAGAATAATCTCAAAATGTGGGGGAAATTTACTCTTCCTTTCTTTCTGTCTCCAATAGCCCTAATATGCCATCCTAGCATCCCTCTAAGAAACTTTTTTTTTTTTTTTTTTTGCATTTGTATGACTTTTCTGAGTCAAGTAAATCTCATTTTTGGCAAAATACTCCCTTACCTAATAATTGTGATTTCACAAAGTAAATTTGGAGGAGTTTACTCTGTGAAATGTTTCTGGGTTTTTCACTTGAACTATTTGTGTCCCTGTAAAAAAATAATACTGGCCATGTCAGCATGTCTAGCATACAGGCTTAACTGACAAACTTATGTTATTACTTACTGTACACGGCCAGTCTGATTGGCAGGCTGGTCATGTTGCCCAGTGGGTTCTCTACGGTGCAGCTGTAGATATCCTCATCAGTCATCAACACTCGGCTGATGGTCAGGCACTTCTGATCAGGTGACAACATGAACCGTGTTTCATTGGCCAGGGGTTTCCCACCTTTAAACCATTTGTAAGTGGTTCTGGTCCCGTTTTCATGAGAACAGTTAAGGACAAAGTTTTCGCTGAGCTCCAGGACGGATGAGGCCTCCATGTGGATGTACGGCCTGGATATGGGCTCTGGGTGAGGGTGAGAGCAAACACCAACGCTCATTAATATAAACATGTACGGAAATGTAAGCACAAAACTTTGTCAATATTCTGCTATTGTCAAAAAAACACAATTTCGCAATTAATGGTGTTTCTATTAATTGAGAAACTGAATTAAATTACCATGGGATGAATTTGTAAGTCATTAAAAAACACGCAGTGCCATCAACCTCCAACTACTTCCTGTTTTCTTCTTTGTCTTTTCCACCAGTAGTAACATCCGGTTGTTCACTATGTGACTCGTGTGATGTGGAAAAAGCATTTCCATTGCAGTTTTGTGAAAAACTAATTTTGACACAAAACTTTATCGAAAAACAAACGTTTTCATTAAGCAAATTTATTTTCATAATTAAAATGTATGCATTTATACAGTTAATGGAAACTCTGGATACAAGCTGTTGAATTAGGTCAATCACTTTAAAGTGGATGAATATTTATGCAGTCACTTATTTTATGATATATATTTTTACTTATTTGTCTTTTTTTATAGAAATCAGTTTTACTTCTGATATAAAGTGTTCAAATTAAGTTGCTTTGTCAAAAAAAAAATTTTGCTGCTTATGATAGATTTACAAAAGGAAAAAAATTGTAAAACATCACAGGAGTGAATAAATTTTTAATGTGCTGCACAATCCTTCCAATTTAGATGAATGCATTACTTTATCTTAAAGGTATCAATAAGACACATTAAAGTTTATGCTCCCACTGCTGTGGTTGCCTTTAGGTAATAAATGTAGGTTTAGATACTAACAGATAACTTCCTCATTGAATAATGCGTCTCAAGCAGCTTCTTCTGTCTCTTATGAAACAAACATCTCATTAATGGAGGTCAGTGAACTCCCAGGATTCCCAGCATAGCTTATCCCACCTACAGTAAGACCAGAGCCAAAAACAGAATACCTCCATGACATTCAGAACATTTAAACATCTCCAGTTGGGATAAAAACTTTAGAAACTGAAGATTTTGTTTCAATGCATTGAGTTTGGGAACTCAGAAAGATTGCAAAATTTAATTAATCCTCAGTGTCATGTTTGAAGAATACTTAGAAGAAAATACATCAGTCTTATGCCCAGAGTCAGAGTTTTGAAACTGAACAAAAAAAAAATTCAGTTCCATTCAAAAATATTTTATTGATCTCAAGGGGAAATCAGCCAACTTTAATTCAGCAACTAATATTAATTGTAACTAATATTAATTCAGATTCTTCAGAGTTATTGTGGATAGTGATGGCTGTTGGCAGGAAATATCTCTTGTAGCAGTCTGTATTACGGACAATATTAAGAAGCCTCTGAAGACACTCTATCACAACTGAAAAGAGGCTTTGATACTAAAAAAATTTTCAAAAATACTTTTCAGATTCCAGTTTCTTTTTCAGTTTCAAAATATTTCTTAGCTTCAAATAATTTTGTTTTTCAGTTTTATTTATTTATTTTTCTATTGAGCAGATTTTATGGCCTGAATTAAGCTCCAAAGTTAGAACCTTGAATAAGTGATCAGCAGCTACACCGAGCTGTTTCTGACCCTACCATCCACAGTGAGTGTGATGCTTCCCTCTCCAGTAAAAATGTCGTCTGTGATGGAGATCTCCACGTCGTAAGTCCCGTCATCAGACAGTCTGAGGTTGTGGAGAAGCAGAGTCCCGTTCTCAAACACCAGAATCCGGTCTTGATACTCAGGCCTCAAGGTCCCAATGATGTCAGTTCCGATGGACTGGACCACGGTGACCGCCTTCTCCCTCTGGAGCTGCCACTTGATAACCGGCAGGTCAAGGCTGAAGCTGCTGTAGCGGACCGACAGGAGGGCCTCTCCCCCGACCGCTCCTCTGATCAGAGCGTTAGGGATGGTCATGTTGACGGCTCCCACCTCACCTGCAGAACAGCATGGAGAGTTTCACTGGACATTAGAAACAGTATAGTGGATGATGTTTTAAAATTGAAATTAGAACAAATCGCTTCTAAATGATATACAGTTGTTATAAACGGGATATGTCTCAAATTTTGCTGGACAGCAAATTATTCCAAAAGTTATTGCGATAAACGATATTATCGTTATTTTGGAGACAATTTTCAAGTAATGTAATGGGAATGACATAATAATGCAAGAACACAATCTCAAAGATCAATAAACTTTAAATTCTAATGAACATTTAACACTTGTCATCCAGTTTTTGGTAGAAAGAGAAAAATAATCATGCAAATGGAAATCATTGAGCTTGTTTTAATTTGTCATTGATTTGTTGCTTATTGCAACAGGTATAGTTATAATTGTCATGAAGTGGTATGGTTGGTGGTGGTGAGGAGAGACGCAGAGAACCCAGGTGTGGAGAAGATGATGAATTTAATGAAGATCTCACAGTCCAGGACAGGCAGCACGTTAGCACACAGCTAATACCGGTAGCGACTGACAAAGACTGACACATGAAACCTCAGGACTATACAGTTCTACTGAGGAAACTGCGAACTGACGTAGGACACGAAGAATGAGGAATGACGCTAACAACGACGAGGATCTGACAAGAGACGGAGACTACAGGTGGACTTAAATACACACGGGGTAATCAAGGGGACGAGACACACCTGGGAGACAAACGGGGAGGACAGGACAGAGACTCACAGGGAACAGCACTACACAGAAAAACTCAAAAATAAACACACAAACACAGATCGTGACAATAATTGGTTTTCATTTTTGCTAAAAAGAGGAATTATCACTTCCATATTTATTTTAGTTTTAGCAGTTAAATGCTTCTGTACCAACAATGCCTTGGTTGGCACGTGATTTCTATTAAATCCAAATTAATGCACTATTATTCAAAACACAACACATCTGTAAGGGTTTTCAAAATCTAAAACACGGAAAAGCAGGTAGGATTTATCCAACAACTGTACAGAATAATACAGCTGTGTCACTCTGGAGCCTCATTGCTATGGTAACAGCTGTTAGACTATGGGATGGGGCCACATGGAGCAACAAAAGTTGGCATTGTGTGTTCAGATTTCCCTTTTGGCAGTCCATGAAAAGGGCAATCCAGACACCAGGCTAGTGCTGCAGAAACAGAGCAGCTTAGTGACCCACAATAACATAATAACACGTAAACACAGCTGAAAAAATCTGACACTGCCACTTCTGATACGGACTGTGGAGAACAAAACAAGCATTCGGATACAATCCAGCATCTCAACAAATGCTGACATTGTGACGAGGTAAAATAACTCAACAGGGTGTGGTGGAGAAAAAACTGGACATCTGTTGCTATTTTTATCATGTCCTAAGCATTTTATAAATTTAAAAATTTAAAAGATTTTAAATTTGTAACCTGTTCTCCCTGCATCATAAAACTCTTCCTGTAGTCGCTGCTTAAGGTAAGGCTGTGAAAGTAAATATGCTCTCATGCAACAGAATAAAAATGAGCAACATAAACATGCATTTAATATTTAATCATTGCTTTTTCAACGTATTATGGTTCTGACACAATAAGTAGTAAATAATTGCATGACAAATTAAAACAAACTCAATAATTTCCATTATATGACTTAACAGTTTTTTTTCTTGTCTCTCTTTTGACCAATAAAAGATAAAAGACTTCAGTCTTGAGTTTTGGTCTCAATTATACCTTGTTTTGAACGACAGCTCAGAGACCTCATAATTAATTTTATTTGTTGTTTCTGTTGTATTGTTTATTTATTTTGGATATTTAAAATGTCTTCCTGTTCCAGTGTTAAATGTTCATTAAAATTTAACGTTTATTGATCCTTGAGAATGTGTTCTTGCATTATTATGCCGTTACTATTATGTTACTTGAAAATGGTCTCAAAACAACAACATTGTCATTTATCGCAAAAAACATCTGGAACAATTTATCATCCGGTCAAATTTGTTATGCTGACAGGCCTAGTAGTTCAGTTGTGCTGCAAATTTCCAAGTATTTTATCTTGACAGCGTTTCTTACCTGAGTTTAAGCAGCCAAAAAATACGAGTGAAAAAATGTGGTAGATCTTTTTTCCTTTGGAAGGAGCGTCCTTCTCTGTCTGCATCTTGAGGAAAAAGCTTTGTTTTTCTCACAGACTGTCAGCATGATTTATGGCTCTGGGCAGGACGGGGGACACAGTCACTCATTCAGGCCGGCCTGGAACTGAGTACGTGTTGTTCTCCAAACGCCACTGTATAAGCAGAACAAAAGTGCGTGTGTAAGCGTCAGGGTTCAGTCAGTCTTGTGATAATAAAACAAAACTGCGTTTAATTCATGCAAACTCCGTTATGATCAGAATCAAACTATTTTCACAGTGCGAGCTTCAAATGCTAGCGGATTAAAAAAAAGAGAGAGGATTAGCTGTTTTGATACTGACGGACAGGGAGTTACATTATGGCTACATTATATTTATTAAGTGTACAGACCCCTGCCAAAATGCTAGGTTTTTGTTGACATTAGTTCTACTAGCACTAAGGCCCTATATCAACATAGAAGCTAAAGAGTTAAAGCTAAAGCACTAAATTCAACCATGTCTCAACAACAAGTGTTACAACACAGTACATTCATGTAAGTGGAGTATTCTTCTGTATGCCTCATTTGTTTGTTATTGTTTTGTTTTACCATTTACACAGTAATAAATATATTTTGTCAAATCTGATCATGATCAGAGGAAACAAAACTTCACCTCCTTCAAAATAAGAGCATGACTATAATCAGCTAAGAATTCTTAAAAGTCAGTAACCAAAACGTCAACTCATATGTTGAATATTATTAAAATGAAGGTTTACAAAGAGTTTTAAAGTTTATCTGGAAAAATTGACTTAGCTAAAACACTAAAGAGTTAGACAAAAAAATTAGCTCTGTCCAACATTGTTAAAATAAACAATAAAATGTTTTTTAAAAGTTTAATTTGATATAGGCTTGGCTTGGGTTGCTTGGTAACAGCCTATATATATTTTCGTTAGTTACCTTTTATCCTCCGATTATTAGTTTTTAAATAAGTCCGAATATCCATGCTGCCCGAAAAAAAGCAGGTCTGTTCGTGAAGACAAACATGAATATATGAGTAAGTGACGTAAGTGACCTGCCACTCTTTTTTTGCAGTTGGCCTGTGATGACTGGTTGATTTGTATGACTGACAAATGGAGATAGGAAAAAAAGAAAGTTGACCATTCTGAGGTTTAAGAAAAACAAGTCATTAGAGTCAGCCGTTTGTTGTTTTTGCAGTCAGACGTTGATCGGGTCTAGCTGGCTCTCACTAAACTGTTCTTACTGCATTTTGTAAACAGTGTTCTTTGTAGTATTTTTATCTATATTTATAATGGTAACATTGTTGATGTTACCATTTTAAAATAACTTACAATTAAGTTGGCAATTGGCAAGGCTCAATATAATTTTCACAGGAGGCGGAGCACTGTTAGCACCTGCTGAACGTAACTAAAAAAGTTACTTTTAATGTAACTTAGTTACTTTCCAAATCAAGTAGTCAGTAATCTAACTAAGTTACTTTTTCAAGGAGTAATCAGTAATCTGAATAAAGTTATTTATTCTAAACTAAAATTTGATAAAAGTCGACAAAAAGAATTTATATGAATTCGAGACTTCAAGGTTGCATCATCACCAGCAACCAGTGAGAGGGAATTCCGTGTTGCTTAGCAACAAAAAGTAGTCAAACAGAAAAAAGTTCCCCAGTGAAGACAGCATGCTCGCTTGTTGATGTTGTTGTTTCTCTGGACTATAACCACGTCCAGCTGCTCTTTGTTCTGATTGGTTCCTGGTCCGTCTTTCCCAGCATGGCGGAGCTCATCCTGTGTGAACCTGTGGAGCTCTACAACCTCCTCAACCAGACCCGGAAAGTGCCGAGGCTGGCCGAGATCAACTACCTCTGTCTGATTGGTGAGATTTCAGCTGCAGTTGCCTGGGTTTCTGATGGTTTTATTCATTTGTTCCCATTGCTTCATTGAAACTTTTATGTTTCTTTTCTAGATGCCCAGGAAACCCACGACTTCTTGACAAGTCATATTATTACAGCCAAACATGTGAAAATGGTATGACATCATGTTTCTGGCTGTCTGTCTTCAAAAATTTATTTTACAGCAAAAAAGAAAAAACAAACATATTTTGTTTATATTTTTAAATTAGAGAAACACTATTTTGGTTTTCATGTTTGGTACACTTTCTGCAGTAGTATATTTGGATCCTATTGAAAATTACATCAGAAAAAAAAACAACCTTTTAAAAATGACCTCAGCTACATTGTTCGAAAATATGACAGTGTATTAAAGCCTCAAATTCCTGCCAAAAAGCATCTAACAAATTTTCTTGAAAAAATAAAATAAAATAAAATAAATAAATTCTGAGTTTAAAAAGTTACACATTTTTTACTTTTGAAATGTAGTAATTTCAGCATTTTTTTCATTCTTGAAAATATGGAAAATTTCTTATATAGAAGTTACACACTGGCAGCTTTAAACTGAAGATATGATTGTTCAATATGAAGAGTTTTGGGTATGACTGATTTTGCCTTTCACTTCATATGATGATAAACTGCAGGCTGGAGATGGTACGTTCTACCTGCCAGATGCAGTGCAGCTCGACACCATGCAGAATGTTGTGATCTATGACGCCACCACAAGCTCTTTAGAAGAAGAAACAAGTAATACTGGAGCATCAGTAGCCATGTATCGGTATAACTTCTTCCCACACAGCAGCAGATGTTAATCATCCTCACTATGATTTTAGGTAGGGCCATTGATTGTGCCCAGGAGCTGGGAAAATCCTACTACCGTCCAATTCGAATACTAGCAGGAGGCTACAGGCTGTTCTCAGCTATTTACCCATTTTTAAGGACTGAGAAGACTCTTTACAACATCTGGGTAAAACTCACTAAGACAGACTGCTTTATTTTTACACATCAATCATTCAGGAGGAGTCTCAGTATTTGTTCAGTCCAAAGTTCTTCATTTGCAAAATGAGACAGAAATCCATACGGTAAAACAAACAGATGAAACGGAAAAATGTAAAAAGAACACATGGTAATAAATAAACCTAGGAAAAAACAAGATGAAAAGGTTAAAGAATTAAAATCCATATATACATTTAACTTTAAAGGGAGAATGCAAAACAATAATAAAAGAAATAAAATTTAAAATATGTGCTTAGATATATAAGTTTAAAAACTAACATTTTAAAAAATACAGTATGAAGTCAAGTAAATTATAGAACATAAGGCAAAAAACATAAACTTCTCAGTTTTTAAACTAATTGGTGCATAAGGTGTACTGATTAATTTATTGGACAATTTATGTATACCTGCTTTTATTTTAAATTTGTCAGTTTTGATCCTCCATACTTTCTATATGTATATAGACTATAATGTGTGGTTTTAGATTCAACCCAGAAAGGTCTCAGTGTATATCAGTGACGTGCGGTGAGGTTCATTGCTGGTGAGGGACTGACTTACGACTTATATAGACACCATGCATGTTATTGGACGTACGGAAATTTCGTGCAAGCATACAACGCTGGAGGGCAAAAAGACTAATCATTTACATGTCATTCATAGCCGCGTTAACTCAGTGAAACTTAGAAATGTAGGTATTGATTTCGTGCTATGATCCACAGCAAAGTTATCTGTATTCATTAAGCTACGCAGATTCGTTGCCATAGCAACTGACAACAATGCCACTTCATGTTTTAGGATTTAACAGCAAAAAAAACGTTCAAGAATTTTGCACACAGAACAGAACATTCAGTCTGTTGTTGTAGTATGTTTTAGGCTTAATGTTTTATTAATAAATAATTGCTGTGGTAGATTAGCTACCGCTTCTACTTTACTGAATTATTTAGACATACAAACTGTAGCCCACAAAACGCACATATCATTAAAAAAAAACTAAACAAAACATCTTATTGCGGTCTTACCTTTACTTATCAATGAAATCCATGCACCGCTAATTCTGCACAAAAATATCCATTCATCCAAAGCCAAGTCTATCCTCGGCATGTCTTTTCTACTCGTTTAAGAATCATCAAACTGTCTCGAAGCAAAACCTTCAGCTCCGGTGTTGGTCTTCCTTTAGTTATTATCTCCTGCTTCAATTGAAAATCCACTTTAGAAAACTGTTTAAGTGTAGAAATGTAGTCTTTCATGTTGAGGTCGGAAGAGAGAAGAAAACAAATCGCTGTACTTTATTTATTTAGTGTGTAGCTAGCTCCATGGCTAGCTCACAGTGTCTTACTCTGCAGTTGTGGAGTCACATTATCTGGGATCATGAGCGCCCCCAGCGATGAGGGAAGAGAACTGCCTGCCTCACCTCGAGTCTGTTCTCTGCCGTTTCTGATCGTTCCTCTACGGAGCCCCCCAGGGGACATGGGGATTTTTTTTCTTTTGCGTCCCCTCGCAATAATGTACTAATCAGTTCATGCGGCATAATTGAATACTGTAAGCCTTTCTTACGGTGGCTGCTGTACTTTCTGCTTTAATACAAGGTTATGTAAGTTTTTTCCATGAATGTTAATATCTCGTTGTGAAATATCAGACGTTTTATATCTTTTTCTTTAGTATAGAAAGGCACAACAAACTTATGATATAAACAGAAACTTTCCGTAAGTAGGAAAGAAATAAAAATACATCCAAACTATTTGGACTATTTCTGAGTTATTAACGTGGGGTAAGTCATCTGACAGTATTAATTGTGTCTCTATTGTGTTCGTAGTCTGAATGGTTTAAAGTGCTGCTTTCTGTACCGTTCCATCTGAGCCTTAACAGACAAAAACATGCAGTAAATAAATCGATTTTCAATCAGTTTTTTGCACCAAAGCGTTAATAATAACAAACACGTATTATTATAAAACACAGCAAACTAATGGTGGTAGAGGGCCGCACTGGGTTAACTCGGGGAATCTCATCTGTCCGTGTATCAATCAACTCCAAACATTTTCTTTGTTCTGTCACAATTATCGATTTATTCCATTTAGATTATCATGCTCCAAACTTTGCGAGGATTGACCAATACACACAAAGCCAACACACCAGTAAGCTAAACGACTAAACGCAAAAGTATTGCGAGGGAACGCAAACGTTTTGCGAGGGAACGCAAAAGAAAAAAAAAAAACCCATGTCCCCTGGAGGGCTCCGTACTCCTCCGCACACAAAACACGATACACACACTTGGTGACAAAAAAAACACTGTACATTATAGGCATAAGCTAAATTATGGAAAATCAGTCCATATATTAAATGTTTTTTAGTCATTTTATTGCCGGCGTACAGACAGGACGAACTTGCTCTCATAGAATGGCAGCCAGTGTAGTTAGCGAGAGGTTGCGCAATCCCAGGTGAGGCTCAGCTCACTGCTGCCTCACCGGCTTCGCTTCTGAGCATTTGAATGGGAAAATGCGAAAATCCAGCGATTTTGAAGAAAAAATAATCAGAATTGGGTAAGCTAAGTAAAAATAGGTACTTTATAGTACAAACCACACGGTGAAAATAGCAATATAAATGATTTTATTACTATTCTTCCATGATGACATGGTGAGGCTCTGCCTCCCCAGCCTACCCTGACCGCACGTCACTGGTGTATATGCATTCAGACTTACTCTTCCTAATTTGATTTAATTTAAACATTTCACTCCATATTATCCACAATTTTGTGATATCTGCTACATAAAATATTTATAAAACACATTGAAGCCCATTGTTGTAATATGATCAAATGTGAAAAAGCCTAAAATGAGTGATGATCTTATTTATAGAATATGCTATCCACTGCAGAACATATAAAACCATCCCTCCACCTTTAGATTTCTCTGTAACTTTTACAAACAGAAACGATAAGATTTGAGCTGCGTCCAGTTCATCATAGTCAAATATATGTGTGGATTCATCTCAGGAGCTTGAAAACTTGAAGCTTTATCCTTTGGAGATTATACCTGGACTACTGTATATGGGAGACCTGAAACAAAGCCAGGGCTCCCTGTGGAACCTGAAAATCCGTGCAATCGTCAGCATCTCACATTTCACTCAGAGTGACTTTTCACAGTAAGACCAGTTCAAACTCGCAAACGATTCAAAATCCTTTATGAGTTCCTTTTATTTTATTTTTTTTGTAAACGTAATTGTTAACTTCCAGGTCTGAAAAAGAAACCCGGGAGATCCTTGACATCCCGCTGGCTGACGAGGTGGAGTCGGATTTATATTCAAACTTCGAAACAATATGCAATTTTATCAGTGAGTATTGGACATGTTTTTGTTTATGTGGCGTGGATGTTAACACATTAGCATGTAATCTTTAATTATTATGTTAAACATAAATGAGACAGAAAAGAGTTAAATTCTTAAACTACGACAGTGCATTTGCGCCGTTGCAGATAGAAAAAGGAGTAAATGTATGCTAAAAGATCTCAAAGGCTTTTAGATTAATCTAAAAGTTAGTGTTTCTAGAAATGTTTGGAAGTTTCTGAGTTTGAAAAGTCAAAATTTAGCTAAAAAAAATCTGAAATTTTCTAGAAAAATTTCAGATTTTGAAAATTTTCAGTTGGAAAAGTTGAACATTTGCTAGAAAAAATCAGACATTTTCTAGGCAAAAATCCTGAAATTTTTTTAAAAAGTTGCAAATTTGCTAGAAAAACAGAAAGAGCAAACTATTATGTATTATTATTTTTTAAAATCAAATGGTAACTTCTTTGTTGTTTAGGTTCTCACATTGATGAAGGATCTCGTGTCCTGATAGTTTCCAGGGAGGGCATAAGCCGCTGCAGCGCTGTGGTACTCGCATTCTTCATACACTACTTCAGATACACACTGGAGGCAAGTATGAATTATACAGAACAGTATGAACACAAATCATGAAAGTAAAAAAAAAAAATAGCATTATTTTATATCCAAGTAACAATTTAGCCAATGGTTTCAACTTAATTTACCATATGTGAAATATTGTTTTTAATGAAGAAAAAAAAAAAAAAAACCTATGAAAAACTGTACTTTTTTTTTTTTGCTTTGTGGTCAAAAATGATTCAACAGGAAGTAAAATATTTTTAGATTTGCTCTTCATTTTAGAAATAGTAAAATGACAAAATTATTCACGAGAAAGTGAAAACTTTTGCCTGTTTTCTCATATTCTGATATTTCCATATTAACTACAGATGATCAATTGAAGTAAAAGTTCCTTAAAAAATACCAAAGTAGCTCTTTCATCAAGCGGTTTTTGAAACTCAACATCAGATTCCACGTTCAGCATTATTAGCCACCAATAATGTGGAACCATTATTTTCTTAGAATCTTCACGCCATGGATTACACTCTGTACTCCATTCTCCACTGACTCAACTTAAAAATAATTAATGTAAAAGTTATTCAGAGCATGACTGTAAACACGCTTTTGTTTAGTTTTTGGCATTGAGACATATTGCCAGTTTTAAGTGTCACAATGTGTGTCCCAGTGATTTTATAGTCCATAAATGGAATGACTGTTTTCAATTTTGTATTTACATGTGTAAAAAAGAAGTTATTTTTACCCAACCTAAGTAAAAATTGCAATCATTGTTGATTTTTTTTTACTGGTGAAAAAAAATGTAAAACAGCATATTTGAGGTGTAGAGATGAAATGGTGCCTACTAAACTCACAACATACAATCCCATTCATATCTCTCAGTGTGTAAGTGATATTGTTTCAAGTTAGGTAACTTGAGTTTGTCAACAATTATTGTATGACTGCTAACAACAACATAACTAAAAACATGTGGAATTAGCGTTTTCTTATGTCATCTAACAAATAAACTCAATAAATGAATGAATAAAACTAGGGCAACCCCTCGAAACAATATAATTTATCCTCTGGTGGAGAGCACTTATTTTACTAGTGGTGTTTGAAACTATGTTATTTGGACTTTCAAGACAAACATCAAATTATTTTAAAGATGACATTTGTCTTGAGTTCCGAAAGACTGCAAAATTCAAGTATGCATAATACATTATTTTGTTGATTTGCCATTTGTAGGAAGCCTGGACATGCATTACTAAATGTAAATCCACCGTGAGGCCCAACACAGGATTTCTACAGCAGCTGTGTCAGTGGGAGGTTCTCACCATTGGAAAGAAAGACACTGATTTGTCAAAACCTCCATTTTTATGAACAATAATACATGTCGCAGTCAATCTGTCATGTATGTTAATTTGTTTGACAAATTCTTGGACATTTATTTTAAATAGGCAATGTACAAAATGTCCATAATAAACCCATGTTTGTGGAAGAGTGTGAATTTTATGATGTACTTTTTGTCTCCTGGGTGATGCCTGTGACTCCCAAACCTTTTGTCACCTGGGTCAAAATTGTCAAGCAAAAAGCACTTGAAGGCCAAAAAAATCAGATTTTTAAAAAACATATTTTATATTTAAATAATAAACATATAGTTAATATATGGTTAATTCTTTTCATCAAGAAGCATGCCATTTTAATTGTTTGATAATTGATCAATTTATTAAATTTACATTAATTTAAGATCAAATAAATAATTTGTACACCCCTGCTTTAAAAGAAGTCACTTAGGGATATTGCCAGTCACAATATGGCGGACGAGCTAACGTATAGTTCCTCCGGCGTGAATGCGTGGTGGAGTCATAATACGCTGATTCTGATTGGCTGAGAAGACATAACGGAATCACGAGGTATGTTCTGATTGGACGAACTAGTAAATAAAAATTGCTTAAAATTACTATAGGAACAATGCTACCGACATACCGGATGTAGTTCTAAAAAATAAAAGTATACACCTACAGAAAGGAGAGGCGAAAAATGTTTTAAAGTAGTAAATGAAAGTGTAGCAGTTGTAGCAGCAGATACCAGCATTTGTCAAAGCACGTTCATAGTTGTTTTGCATTTCCCGAGCGTCTTAAACGTGATGCTTTTATTGCGAAAGGCATCTGCTGGAAGCGTGTGTCGTTCACGGATGTTGCTTTGACGGTTACAACTGTTGCACAGGAGCGTTCGATTATTTCACAATTCCTAGAGATTTCCAAGCATCGGAGGAGAAATGTTGTTCAGTCCAACGAATTTATCCGAATGTTTTCGGGAATGGGAGGATTTGGAGAAAGATTACCATAATATTCAGGTTTGTTTAGTTATTGTATCCGGCCATAGTAAACAATAAACGCTTGCTGCCCGGATAAGCTAACAGACGGTGTAGATGGGGAGACTGGCGGGTGGGATCCACCTTTAGCAGATAAAGATTAAATGATAATTATCAGGAACATTTAAATACATTTTTTAACAGATCGGTTCATATGTGACAGATTTGATAATGTGTTATTTTACTTGCAACTACATATCTGTTGAAATGTTAAGAAGGTCAGAATTAGCTGTAATATATTTCACAATAATCCTATTTCATGGCATTATGCAGTAATTCTTGCAAAAGAGACCATATAAATGAACTTGTAATTCCAGAAACTTGAGATTTTGTGTTTAAAACTATCTTTTTCCATTGATTTTATAAAATATTTAGATTTTTTTTTAATTTGGGTTTTTATTCTCTTTTAGCCAAATTAATCAAAATAACAACTCATTATGAATAATGGATGTTTAAAATATACTAGTTTCACTTTCTGAAATAAATGATAAAAAATATTGACTATATAAAAAGTTTTTTTCGATATAGCACATCTTTGTGTCCATTCTGCTGTGTAGATTTCATTATATCATCATCTTCCTAAAACAATAGGATTAGTCATTTTTTGCCATTTTCCCGCCAGAGCATATTTTGGTGGTGATTTATTTATTTATTTATTTTTTTATTTATTCTTATATTCAAAAATCACTGTTTGCCAAAAAAAAAGACTTTTGGCATTTTTTAGGAAGCTAATACATTATATTTAAAATTACTTAATTGTTTTACAGCTCTGTTCTTTTTTATTTCTAAATAATAATAAAGAAAACAAAAATATGTATATTTTTGTTTACAGCAAAATTATTAATAATTCTCCACTGTTTTGTAGAATAGAATAGAAACAGCCTTTATTGTTCTGCAAAGGGGAATATTCATGTGTAATGGCAGCATTAGATATAAATGTTAACACAAAAAGTGTGAGATATAAAAAACAAGATTAACCATAACAGTGACAATAATTAAAATATCAAACTAGCAGTCCGAGGGATGTGCAGTGGAGTCAGATCATCACTTTTCCAAAAATATCTATATAACATTGAAAAAGACAGACTATTTACAATACAGTACATCAGTGCAGAAAAACGAACGTGCAACAACGGTAGAGACGTTATTTAAAAATGAGTAAGAATGCCTCGTTAATCTACTCCACCTGCAGGAGACCCATCGTTTATATAAACAGAAGCTTGAAGAAATGACCAAACTGCAGAGCAGCTGCTCCAGCGCCATAGCACGTCAGAGGAAGAAACTGAAAGAGCTCAGTCTTCAGTTGAAGAAGTGAGTGTCAACAGGAAATGGGTTTAACTCAATAGCAGATGATATATATATATATATATATATATTTTTTTTTTTACGTTTGTCAAAAACCTTTTCCTCCATCAGCTGCAAAGGACAACGTCGGACTTCCAACCTGAGCCCAGAGCTGATGAAGTTCGTCTCTGCGATGGAAGAGTCCATCAAAGACAAAGCGCATGCTTTCTTTGAAATGGAAGCATTTCTGCCAAAGAAGAATGGGTAGAAAGACATTGCATGGCTTAAAGTAGGACTGGAGTTTTATCATGATACCTTGTGGGACTATTGTGAAAATAAAAACTTTATTACTTTTTAGATATGTTTCTTTAGGACACCAGGCACAAAAAAAACTGACGAATAAACAAATAAAAACTAGCCAATGCACTCTAGAAAGTAATTTAAATTAACTGAATTAGACAAACAAAATGTCAGTATGAAATAAAACTAAACCAGAACGAACAACCCAAAACTATTATAACCCTGGTTCAAATTTGTTTGTATTTATTGATACACCTTTACACAGAATACACAGTGGGGAAAAATAGTAAGAATGATACCATTAATTTCAATTGATTGTGACAGCAATAAATCAAAAATCTTATTGTGATTAGAAATTTATCACAATAAATGATAGACTATGCGATAAATACCCACCTCTTGTGTAACGTGTAGAACACTGCATATCTCGACTGACTGATTTCTGCGTCTTCCCTGTTCAGGCTGTACCTCACGCTGGTTTTGGGAAACATTAATGTAACACTCCTGAACAAACAGGAAAAGTAAGTTGCATATTTTCACTGCAGACGCTTCAGAGCCGCTTCACCAACCCTCTCCTTCTGTTTCTCCCCACCCATATAAAGGTTTGCATATAAAGGCGAGTATGAGAAGTTCAAGCTGGTCGTGACCTTCATCCTGTTCATGTTCTCCTTCACATGTCGCTTTTTGCTCAGCTACAGGTAGGAATGGTTTAGATTTGACTCAGTTAGTGGATTTTAAATGTGTGAAGCAGCAGGAGATGCAGTGTGTATTTGTTTTTTTTGTGATGATGCAACGCATCCCTCATTGTTTCAGAGTCCTGGACGCTCTGTTCAACTTCCTGCTGGTGTGGTATTACTGCACACTCACCATCCGGGAGAGCATCCTCATCAGTAACGGCTCAAGGTCTGTACCTAGTTTCATCCTATTATGGGTTAGAGGCCCAGTGAGGGACCTAAAAGTCTAAAGAACATCCAGCGTTGGGATTAAACCTAAAGATTTTCTTATATTTTCTGTTTGTATATTTAAAATAAATGCCTGAAACTAGATAAATTGGTAGCTAGTACTTAAAATGTACTTGTACTGTTTGTACATTTCGCAATGCTCAAAAACCCAGTTTCAATTGAAAATTCCAATACAGCAAAATTATTAATAATTCTCCAATGTTATATCATAGTGTATAACAGGACTGTGGGACAGATGTCAGCGGCCAGGAACCTTCATCAAAAAGACATTGTATGGAGCTCTGGTAGTGCCAAAAAAAGTATAAGTACTTATACTCGTAAGTACTTATACTTATAAGTAACCCCTCTTTTATTGTAAGTAAGAGGTGGTTTTACTTTTTTGTCAGTAAAATGTGCCTAAATAGTGCAGAAATACCTACTCAGTGGAAAATGGATTTATTTTATGAAAGTTTTTTTTTTTTTTTTTTTTCAAATTAAATGAGAAATTATTCACCTAATCAGTGAACACAGTCAGCTGTACAACAAAAACACACAATTTTACCAAGAATTTTTAGTCTAGTTTATAGTACAAAATCTTAGAACATTTGGAATAAGATAAAACTAACTGATAAGTAACTGTTCAGCAAGGTACAGCAGCTTGTTTTAAGTCAATATTTCTTTAATACTGATGAAAAAGTACTAGTTCCACTGCAGATTATTATGACCAAATTGTGTGCTATGTTTTGTTTCCAGCTGGTACAAAGAAAATTTGCAAGATTGCTTTCAGTAAGGCAAACTTGCTGAGCCCTCTTTAAGTTTTGGATCTAGAATAATTTACACATCCCTTCCTAGCAATAAATCTGGTGACTTTATTTGTTTAATTAATGCATTGCATGCTCAGTTTATTGTTGAGTAGGTACAAAAAAAAATTGTTCTTTGACCCTTACATCCTTCTGGCTCGACAAAACGTTTAGACACATTTGGTTTGGATTAAAGCGTATTCATGTGTTGGGATGAATTTGAGCGATTTTGAAAAGATTAGCTCTAGATGCAATCAACAAAATGTGAAAAGTATTCAGGGGAGGAAACTTTTTGCCAGCTCTGAGCATCTTTTGCTGTTTCAGGATCAAAGGTTGGTGGGTTTTCCATCACTACGTGTCAGCCTTCTTGTCTGGAGTCATGCTGACTTGGTAAGACCTCATCTCCACTCCGACCCATCCTCCACAGTTCGTAATGTAACGAACCGTATTATTACTTATCGATCGGCTCAACCTCATCACCTCTCTCACCTGGTGTGACCTTTGTTCGCAGGCCTGATGGGGCCCTGTACCAGATGTTCAGAAATCAGTTTCTATCCTACAATCTCTATCAAAGTAAGTGTGTCTCTGCCAGTTTCACATTAAACAATGGGTCTAAGCAAATATTTTTCTATGTTTCAGCCAATTATTAATTGATTATTAGAATAACTGTCATATAATTTAGTAATTGATTAATTGCTAACTAGAGTATACAGACTCTAAAAATGGTCAGTTGCTGAAAGAACAACAGTCAGAGCAAATATTAAGTAAAATTGTACAAAAAATATTTACATCTTGCAGATGAAAAACCTTCTTTGTAAATATGTTCAACCCAGAACTATTCAAATTCTGTAAAAAAAGAATTGCTGGCTAATTATTAATCCAAAAAAAAAAAAAAAAATATATATATATATATATATATATATATATATATATATATATATATATATATATATATATATATATATATATATATATATATATATATATATTGTTTTT